ATGGGTTTTGCGACGCCTCTGAAAAAGGCTATGCTGCTGTCGTATATTTACGGACTGTGAGCTCTTCTGGTCATACTGCAGTCCACCTCGTACTTGTTAAAAGCAAGGTTGCCCCCATTAGGTCCCGCTTAACTATCACTAAATTGGAACTGTCCGGAGCCGCTCTTCTCACGCGACTCCTCAACCACTTTCACTAGTCTTTGACGGCTGTAATCGACATTACGGACGTCTACGCTTGGTCGAACAGTGAGATAGTACTTTGTTGGCTCAGAGCTGCACCTCACAATCTGGAAGTCTTTGTGGCGAACCGAGTGTCTCAAATCCAGAGTTCTGAGACTTCTCCAAACTGGAGACATGTCCCAGGGGAGTTGAATCCCGCAGACTGCGCTTCTCGCGGCTGTGAAGCCCCCTCGTTGGTTAACCACCCGCTGTGGTGGGTTCCCAGTTGGTTGACTGAGTCTCCATCACTCTGGCCCCAGGGTAAATACTCCGAACCGATTGAATTGCCTGGCCTACGAGCCCGAGTAGGAGTGGGCAAGGATAAGCTAACTCGGGACCTCTCCCTTTTAGAACGGTACAGCTCTCTCGATAAGCTCTTAGGAGTGACTGCTTGGTTGCGCCGATTTGTCCGCAATTCGAGAGACCCGTCCAACCGAATCTCTGACTCCGTTTTGTCCCCTAACGAGCGTCGTGAAGCCTTGATGCATTGGACCTGTATGTTCCAAGCGGAACATTTTGAGCCCGTGATCGAAAACTTGAGGCGGGGCTCCGTCGTCAAGGGCGCTCTGGCCCGCCTGAACCGTTTCCCAGACGACGCTGGGATGCTGCGCGTTGGAGGACGTTTGAAAAATTCTCAACTGCCGTACGGGACTCGACACCCGTTACTGCTTCCCAAGGACGGCGCCTTTGTCCGGTTGCTGGTAACCCACTATCATGTTAAGAATGCCCAAGCTGGGTGTAACGCTCTTTCGGCTATTTTGCAGCGGGAGTTTTGGATTTTGGCTGGCCGACGCATCATTCGGAGCGTCATCTTTAAGTGCATACCATGTTATAAACTGAAGGCCACCATATCGCAGCCTATGATGGGTGACTTACCACCCGACCGCATCAGGGCCATCCGACCATTCGCTGGAGTCGGAACAGACTTTGCTGGCCCCATCCTCTTCAAGTCCTCCAACCTTCGTAACGCGCGTTCACATAAGGCCTATCTGTGCGTTTTCGTGTGCCTCTCCACTAAGGCCGTTCACTTAGAACTGGTAAGTGCCCTCAGCACTGAAGCCTTTGTGGCCACGCTGGGCCGCTTCGTATTGCGTCGCGGTTTGCCGGACCTGATCCGGTCTGATTGCGGAACGAAATATAAGGGCACGGATAGATATTTGAAAGAGGTTGTCGAATTTCTGTCCAACAACAGGACGTATTTAGGTACTGCGATGTCCAAGAAGGGCATCCAGTGGAAATTCAACCCTCCAGCTTGCCCACACTGGGGCGGTATTTTTGAGGCGGTAGTTAAGGTTGCAAAAACGCATCTCCGTCGCGTTATTGGCGAAACTATTTTGACGTTTGAGGAGCTTGCCACTGTATTCTGTAAGATTGAGGCGGTACTCAACTCTCGGCCCCTCTGTCCCCTCTCGTTCGAGCCGAATGATTTGGAGGTTCTAACCTCGGGACACTTCCTGATTGGCCAGCCGCTTAACGCCCTACCCGAGTACCCCTTCAGGGAAGTAAACTCTTCGCGGCTGAGCAGATTTGACCTGTATCCTACCTAGTACCTACATCTTTTGCAGCAGCGTATTAAGTGATCTGACAAGACGGATCCTCCTCGGGTTGGAGACCTCGTGTTAGTTAAAGAACCCAACGCTTTGCCTTTGTATTGGCGCTGTGGGCGCATTGTTAAGTTGTCGTATGGATCGGATGGGGTGCCTAGGGTGGCCGAGGTTTTGGTCGGAGATTCGGTCTTGCAACGTGCCGTCGCGACCCTGTCCCGTTTGCCAATCTACTCGCGGACATAAGTCCTTATGTCCGGGGCGGGTGTTTGTTTAGTCAAAATAGCAACCGTTTGAAAATTGAATTCATAACGCGCGCTCGGAGCGTGCATAGCGCCGTAGCAAGGTCACCTCCGCCCTTTCGCGCGTGCTCGCATTACATTCGAAGTCGTGTCGAACGGGACGTGTCGAGAGATTCATTGTGAGGAACTGCCGGTTGCATTTTTTTTAAATACTAGTAATGTTATTAAACATTACTAATATTCCCTTTAACTGGTAAGCTTAAAATGCTTGTGTTAGAAGTAGTTCACGCCAGTAGTCGAATGGCTTATTCGAACCCACGACCTTTCGAGTTCGCGGTCCGCGTCCTGCCATTAGGCTACTGACGCTTCTATTCTTCATTGCTTGCTGTAAGTCGAATCGAACCGCGTGGTTGCCTACAGCGCCGAATTTGTTAACGGATTTGTGCAGCAACGAATAATTGTGTTGCCTAGAACATTAGACGCCAGGTTGGCTAATTATTGAGTAAGAGTTGGCTAATTGTTAAGTTAGTGTTTAATTGTACCGTTGCGTTAAGCGGCTTAAAAGGTCGCGTTTGGTTTCGAAATAATTTGTTGCGGAGTGAACGAAAGTGAACTTTGACCCCTCAGTCGTGCCATGTATTACGTTTTTGATTATAATTAACAGGATTTAGTTGCGTCTTGAGGTTAGTTAAATGTACGATAAAGTTAATAGACTGACATAGTGAATTGAAGAAGGAAATAGTCCATTGCTGACGCCGCTGGAGAATACCACGCCGGGGGTGGTGCCGGAGTCAGCGCGGCTGCTGATTAAAAGGGCTAATTCAGATTACACAGATTTACACTTCTAACACACTACTTACATTCACGACAATTACGCCTGAACGAGCCCTGGGAGCCTTCTTCGCCAGCGAACAGGTACGTACTATTTATTTACCTAGCCATCTCCCTGTTGTGTAGTAGGATAGGACATTTTCCATACGGCCAGTTTGGGCCCCGTCCTAGTTGTCCGTCGAACCTAACAGCTGTATAGGCCCCTGTATGATAGACATTAGTAGGGACAGCTAGGTGCGTGAACAAAAGCAATTCACAATAATGTCAAAAATAACCTTAACAATTTAGAAAAATTGACTACTATCAATTTCAGGACAATTTATTACACTATAAAGGAAATCAACCTCATGATTGCATCAAAACCTGCCCAAAATAAGTAAACAAGATATAGTCAATGAGCTTCATAAAGCAGCAAGAAGAAATTTTTCTCGTTAACATACGATTATTAAAGGAATAGATGATTTATTGTAAGCTGACCTGATTGATTTTCAAAAATATTCAGCGTTTAATAAAGGATATAAATATGTTCTAGTAGTAATCGATGCTCTATAAAAATACGTATAGGTTAGAGTTAGACCATTGAAAACGAAACATAAAAATTGTGTCAAAAATGCCATGCAAAGTTTATTATCTGAATCAAGACGAAAACTAAAAATTTACAAACAGACCTTGGTACAGAGTTTTATAATGATTCTTTTAAGAATTTAATGAAAAATTATAATATAAATCATCATTCCACGTACTCCGTTAAAAAGGCCTCCATTGTAGAACGAGTAATAAGAACTTTAAAAACTCACCTTAACAAAATATTCAGTCTATGCGGACGATATCAATGGTTCAATATAATTTAGATTTTGTTGTAAAGCGGTATAATAATACTTTACATCGCATTACAAAATTCAGGCCTATCAACGTTAATGATTCAAATGCGATTTCAGTTATGTCAAACATCAAGAAGTCTCAAAACCCTAATAATGAAACGTTCGTATAAGCAAATACAAAGCCAAAATATCGTTTTTTAGGAGAAGTAATTAAGAGAGTACCTAATATTTCATTTTATGATTTCAATGATAACAAGGACGTTATAGGTCCAAGTGAAGCTTTAAACAATTCTGTATTTATTTTTGATGATGTTGCTTGTGAAAATCAAATCAACATTCGTAATTATTTTTCTATGGGCAGGCTTAAGCAAATCGATTGCTTTTATTTATCTCAGACCTACTCAAAAATTCCGAAACAATTGCTACGAGACAATGCCAATTTTATTATAATATTTAAACAAGATGATGTGAACTTAAAACATATTTATGAAGAACATGTTAGTTCTGATAAGTCATGGAATCAATTTAAAAATATTTGTAATATAGTTTGGAGTAAGCTGTATAATTTTGTTTGTATTAACAAAGACTCACCGTTAAACAATGGCAGGTGTAGAAAGAATTTTGATATTTTTTTTAACCTAGAGTAAACTATTATATTTTTTTAGATAAAACTATTTAGTTTTATTGTAGCCGCGATAGAATGAAGTATTGTAAAGCATTATGGAAAAGCAAATTAAAATGGAATTAATGAAGTCTGTGGACTCCATAAAGAATAAAATAAAAATAATGAAAAATAATGAGCATGAACTGAACTTATCGCTAGATAAAATGCTAAAACCTGTTAAAGAGCCCCTTAAAATCATAGTAAATAAGCAAAAATCAAAGACCATAATTTATCGATGCAATCATGGCCAAGTTCTGCTGGATCATTTGAATCGGAATTTCAGAACTATTACGATGCTGACTTGAGTTCTGCAGAATCCCCAAAAAATTTTTTTTTTTTTTTTTTTTTTTAGGATCGGGTGACAAACGAGCACACAGTCCACCTGGTGGTAAGTGGTTACTGTGACCCATAGACATCTACATCTATCCTCAATAAAGACTCAAGATGCAGATGCGTTGTCACCCGTGAGGACTAAGATGGAATGCCTCTTTGCCAGTAAAAAGGGTCTCCGGTTCTCTACACTCACCATACGAAACACAGCAGCGTTAAGCTGCTATTTTACGCTGGTTTTCTGTGAGATGAAATTAAAGATAATTTAGAGGCTTCATTAGATCGGAATTATATCTACGATGATAAATTAAATATACCATTTGGGATAAGAAAAGAAAAGAAAACTTACATGATGGGAAATTCAGAAGTTACTTTTTCTAAAATTGACAGTTTGGATAACGAAACTGTATTTTTAGTAAAAATTGGAGACAAATCTTACAATTTAATCGGGTTAAAAGAACTTCTACTTAGAAAAAAATCTGATAAAAATTTAGTATCAAGCGCTGATAAACTCGTGTACAAAGATATTCTACACCATACCAACGCTCATGAGAGAGATTTTAACCCTAGAGGTCAAATAAGAGGTGATAAGGGAATTAAATATCGAAAAATAATTAAACTATTATTTTCCGCGACCTTAATCAAATATAAAAAATCGAAGAAAAGCGTGGAGGTAATTTACCTAAGCTTAAGAAATATAAAATCAACACTGATATTGTATATTGGGACGATCCAAATGAATTAGTTGATAGATTAAAACATTTAATAGCTTCAAGAGATGCGGGCAATACAAATCATGATAATGAAATGTTATCGATCATTGAAGAATTAAAAGAAGCTAACATTATAAAGGAATAAAATACTAATTATTACTAGGTTTTACTCAGTATTGGTGAAGTTGCTCATGTTGCAAATTACTAAAATTGTCTGTATTTATTTAAGTAACAAGCAGCATAAACGAATTATTTTTAATAACTACCTACATAAGAATAAAATAAAATACATTATTTTTTTGAATATGAGTAAAGCCGATGTAGTAAATGAAATTCATAAAAATACTAGGGTGAATTTCCCACGTAAAAATGTTATTACGAAAGATATAGATGATTTATGGCAAGCAGACTTAATTGATATCCAATCAGTTTCTAAGGAAAACAAAAACTTCAGATTTATTCTTACCGTTATTGATACATTTTTGAAATACGCTTGGGCTTTTCCAATTAAGACTAAAAGTAAAGAGGACGTATGCTATATTTTATGAAGTTCCTAAAAACACGTGTACCCAAAAATCTGCTAACCGACAATGGAACAGAATTTTATAACGATAAGTTTAAAAAAATTATGAATTCTTATAATATTAATCATTACTCAACCTTTTTAACAAAGAAGCCTTCCATACTCGTAGTTGAACGATTTATTCGAACTTTGAAATCTAAATTGTATAAAGCATTTAGTTTACAGGGTAATTATAACTGGATAGGCGATACTCTTAGTAATGTTATTTACGAATACAATCACACTTATCATCGAACTATTGGTGAAATTCCAGCCAATGTTAATAATAAAAGTAAAAAACGAATACTACAGAGATA